TTCAATTACTACTTGTAAATCTGGCTATTTTTGAATTTATCCCAAAAAAACTCTAGTTATAAATATTGACACTAGATAGCCAATAAATGTATATCACAACAATAATGTATATAACATAGTTTTATTTTTCTCCAAACTTTATTTTCCTTCTTTGTATATCTAAAATATGAAATTATAAATATAGATGTCTATAATTTATTATTGGTCTTCGTATTCAAGTATATAACACAAAAGCTACTGTGTTATTTATTTATCACGGTGTATACACATCAAATAACGTATATATATATATATATATATATAAAAACTTTATTCTCCTTCTTTGTGTATTTCAAAATGTATATTAAAAGTGTGTGTTCCTTCTTTGTATATTAAAATATATATCAAAATTTTATTTTCCGTCTTTGTATATCTCATTATACAACACATATTTATTATGGATATACACAAATATATGTGCTAGAGATATATTAATACACAAGATGAAAATTAGAATGTTTTTTGTTAATTAAAAAAATGTATTTACGTATAAATCAAGGCCCAATACATCATATGTTTATATTACGTATAAATCTACTCATTTCCGATGCTCTATCAAGAAATTTTGCCTGTAGCAACAATACGAATATAAAAACTCTCTTGATGTTATAAATAGAATTGTATTTATGGTGAATGTTTATATTTAGAGAGATTCTAGGGTTCATTGCTTGGTGGCTAAGTCACCCTCTCCCTATAAATAGAGGGTTCTATTCTATTGTAATTGATCCCAAATCAATAAGAATTCTCTCTCCCTACTTTTCTCTGCAATACTCTTCTTTCTACTTTTATTATTTCATAACACGTTATCAGCACGAGACTCTAACCAATTGAGTAGAAGCTTTGGGATTGAGCATAATGATTGTCAATTATTCCATAAACTTCCTTCATGATTAAATTTTGGATTTAAGGTAAGTATTTTACTTTATTTTTCTCTTTTAAATTCTTGAAATTCTATAATTTGATTTTATATATAAGAAAAGACAACAAAGTTTGATTATAACTCTAATGGAGTTTGTAAGAAATTACACCCACTTGAAGTGCTAAAATTTCTATGCCTTGCCATGATCAAATTCATGTACGATTGTGGGCAAACTATTAAAAATCCGTCCCATTGAATTTGCTCCATTCTCATTCCTTTAAGAGAATGTGATAGCAGTATGTGATAAGTCTGAAAGAAGACAAAATTATTACCGTGAAGGTATCAATGGATGTGGACGTGACAATAGACGAAATTATAATCGTCATCATTTGTGGTAATGAGAACAATAAGAATTCTCTCCCTCTACTTTTCTCTGCACTACTCTTCTTCTTCTTTTATTATTTTATATACATCAGTTTGATATACATTATATACGAAAGTATATTATTTTCTCCCCTCACAAGTGCTTCAAGGTCAGGAACCAAATAATTTCATCTTATTATTATTGATGTGCGGTGTATATTTTGATTAACACCATAACGCACAAAGGTGGATTCTCAAAGTTGAGGTAACAAGTTAGTTTTTCTAACATGAGGGGGAGACATGATAAACAGTTGAGAAAAAGTTACGTGGAATGAATTATCATTTGTATATCTAGATCCTCGAATAAGATAATATGAGCTTGAGGTTCATAAAAAAGGATAATTCATTTGCAATATATTGCAAAGCATGCCAGACGCATTTGCTGACCCAAAGAAAGTAACTATATTCTCATTGCAAATGCTCTTATTAAGTCCTAGAAGGACAACGTCTATGGTACACTTAAAGCATATAGACAAATCGATTTCAAATAAACTTCTTAATATAGAAGATGAGCAAATGATCAAAATGATCATAATAAGGAGGCAAGTGATCTAGAAGATCACATGACATAACACTTCATAAAATCTCAAGAGAGATTCAGGTACCTGAAAATATGAATAAAGTTATCTCTATGTTATGTCTTTATGAAAAAATATTGAAACTGATATAAAATATTTGCCGACGACATCTATGATAGCGCTAAATATATATATGAGGATCTTAAGTCTGAAGAAACAACTCAAATAGAATTGGTTTCATATGAAAGCCATGTAGTTTTGAACATGCATGTAGTTCAAACACTTGAAAGTATAAGTCAATGGTATGTGCAATCAGTTTTCGATATCTTATATGTCTAGCATGACATGAAAACTTGATATGCATCTAAAGTCTATTACATGACTTATATGACTTAACTTATATGACAATCCTTGAAGGATTTAAATTGCTTAAAGCATATAGAATTCATGGTCATGAAGTACTACATCCTCAGTGCAATTTGTACACAAATGTATCTTGCTATAACTATATGCATGATAATATGATACCAAGACCTCTATGTGAAGATATTGAACTGACGATTCCAACAAGATCATATGAAGACAATTCATCTCTATCAAGAATGATGATTTCAAGGTGCAATATATTCATTCAAGTTAATATGGCTGATTTGTTCATCAAATCTCTACCAAAGATCTTTTGAAGATGGTACACAAGATTGGAATGCAAATGCTCAAAGATGTGAATTGATGCTCTCATCAGGGGGAGTTAATACGCGTTGTACTCTTTTCCCTTACAAGGTTTTGTCCCACTGGGTTTTCCTTGCAAGGTTTTTAACGAGGCAACCAAAAGGCGTATTGTTAGATACGTGTACTCTTTTTCCTTCTCTAGAACTTTTTTCCCACTGGGTTTTATTTTAGTTAAGGTTTTAACGAGGCACATTATTTGTTGAATAGACATTCAAGGAGGAGTGTTATAAATAAAATTGTATTTATGGTGAATGTCTATATTTAGAGAGTTCATTGCTTGGTGGCTAAGTCACCCTCTCCCTATAAATAGAGGGTTCTATTCTATTGTAATTGATCCCAAATCAATAAGAATTCTCTCTCCCTACTTTTTTCTGCAATACTCTTCTTTCTACTTTTATTATTTCATAACACTTGATTATATATATAGTTAGCCTTTTTTCAATGCGTTTCTGAATTAAAATTAAAAAAAATTAAAAAGGAAGAAGAATTAAGATGGGTGCAAAGAGGAAAGAACGGAGGAATTTAAATAAAGGCTAAGGTGGTTGTGGACTTGTGGTGATGGTTCCAAAAATAAATAGGAAAGAAAGCTTTAGGGGATTAACTAAGTAATGAAACTCTTTTTTTAGGTTTTCTTTGTCAAATGTAATCTAAGGCCAAATATTTACCAATTTCTATTATGTTGTCGCCTAGTGTTTATTTTCCTAAAATGTTATAAAGGTATATGAGTCTTTAAGGTGTAGAAAAAAATAGACTTAATTAGTTGGCCACTTTTTAGCTCTGTTATTAAGGCTTGATCACCTTTTACATTGTAATGGCAAAGTAGACACTAACATGATTAAATTGACATTTTCTCCACAACTAAATCACGGAATACAACTTCAATAATCGGTATTGAATTTTAAAGTTTTGATAAGTGAACTCCTAGTAAACTATGCTGGAATTCAAAGATTTGCTGAATTTTCAAACCCACAAATGATTCATAATTATTTGAACTTTTATTTAAATCAGGAACGATTCCTGATTTTTGAATACACATTGTACTTTAATAAGTTTGAACTTTTACTAGTGAAAAATCCAAAATCTAGGATAAATTACTGGGTTTTAAACTTTTACTAGTACAAAATCCAAGAAAATCCATGAAAGATACTCTATTTTTGGATTCATATTATATTTCAATAATTTTTAACCTTTAAAACAAAATCTAGGATAAGTTAGTAGTTTTTGAACCTTTAATAGGAGGATTTTTTGCCGTACCCTATATTTGTGCCGAAGTCCAAAAAGAAGCATGTTATTTTGCTAGGTGTTAAAGAAATGTACAGATAAATTGATATTCTACTACTTGTTTTAGAGCTCTGTTTGTTGGAATTCTTTTTAAATCTAGTTTTTTCATAATCAGCATTCGTTCGTCAAGCAATTTTTTGGATCTGTCACAAAATCAGACTATAACATATGCAGAAGCAAAGGAAAAGCGGCGATCGATCTATACTTTTTTGAACCAGGAGATCTTCTCTATCCATCTATACTTTTTCGGCTATAGTCGTTTTGAAAATCAATTTCGATTTTAGGGTCTCAGATCTCCTCTATTTTCTATAGATCTGCTCAATTCCGAGTTCTTTATGTAAAATTAATTGTTATTATATCTTAATTTCGTTTTTTCTCCCTTGATTTCTCTGGTTTTTTGAAAGAAAAACCGTCATCTTTTCCAATAATTTTGGCTTTATTGAACCTGAAAAATCTTATTTTCTCCCTCTTTCATTCTTTCTTGTTTTCCTCTTCTTTGTACTATTGTGTTAGACCAAATATCCCCCACTATTTGTCCACCCTTCTTTCCTCTTGTTTTTCTCTTCTTTGATTTTGTTGGGGCTCCACCGGTGGTAGCGGAGGCAACACCTTTTTTTTTTGGTTCTTGGGTTTTGCTGTGTCTTTCAGATAATACGTGATGGCTATTGGAGACGAGCGAGGAGCGGGCGCGCAAACATAGGAGTGCTGCTAGGGTGAGTAGCAGTAAGGGGCGGTGGAAAGTTAGACGTGAACAAGCGAGGTGCCGCATCAGTGTCGTGTGCACCAAGACGACTTCCAGGTTCTTTCTCGGGAGTTGGTACCTCCCATTTTCCTATTCTCCTTCCCTTGCGTTAGTTAAATTGCTGCCTTTTTAGTTCTCATTAGTGTTAAGCTTTCTATTAGCTTCAACTTGTTTTCTCCTAGTCTGGTCCGCTTGCATAGTGAGTGTGAGTGATTCTCCTTACTCTGTTGTATGTATAGTGGCTGTAGTCTGGGATGGTAGAGTAAGGTCATGTCCTCGAGGAGGCCAGGGGGCGGGGCGGGGGTCAGGGGGTGGGACGGGAGGCAAGGGAGGTAAGGGGAACAAGGGTGCCTGTAGGTTGAGAATTGGGTCATGGAACATACGTACATTGACGGGTAAGTCTATAGAGATGGCGAAGATCCTTCAGAAAAGGAAGGTCAATATAGCGTGTGTCCAGGAGACTCGGTGGATAGGATCGAGGGCGAGGAATGCAGACGAGTATAAGCTGTGGTACTCTGGAGTCCTGAAGGGTAAGAATGGTGTAGGCATTCTAGTGGATAGGGAACTTAGAGAGTCTGTGGTAGAGGTTAGGCGGGTGAATGATTGGTTAATTTCTATTAAGTTGGTGGTTGGAGAGTGCACCATAAATGTCGTTAGTGCGTATGTGCCGCAAGCGGGCTTGGATGAGGAGATCAAGAGGCGCTTCTGGGAGGGGTTAGATGACATTGCGTGTAGTATTCCACCTGCTGAGAAGTTATTTATAGGAGGGGATTTTAATGGTCATATTGGGTCGACTGCAGGCGGTTATGGCGAGGTGCATGGTGGCTTCGATTTTGGGGATAGGAACTCAGGAGGAACTTCGCTGTTGGATTTCACAAGGGCGTTTGAGCTGGTGATTGCTAACTCTAGTTTCCCAAAGAGTGAGGAGCATTTGGTTACTTTTCAGAGCATGGTGGCGAAGACTCAGATTGAGTATCTGCTCCTTAGGAGGCGCGACAGAGGGCTGTGTAAGGATTGCAAGGTTATCTCGGGTGAGACCCTCGCGACGCAGCATAGGCTCTTGGTAATGGACGTCGGTATTTTGATGAAGAGGAAGAAGAGGACTGCACGAGGTCAACTGAGGATCAGGTGGGGAGCCTTGACTAAGGATAAAGCTCAGGAGTTGGAAAGGAGGTTATCGGTTGTAGGAGCCTGGAGGAGTAGTGGGGACGCGAGCGTTATGTGGTCGACAATGGCAGATTATATACGAGAGGCAGCGAGAGAGGTGTTGGAAGTCTTGAAGGGTTTCGTTGGCGGGCACAAAGGCGACTGGTGGTGGAATGAAGTGGTCCAATGTAAAGTGGAAGCGAAGAAGGCGACGTACCTGAAGCTAGTAGGGAGCACATGCGAGGTTGAGAAGAGTGCGAATAGGGAGAGGTATAAAGTATCTAGGAAGGAGGCAAAACTGGCGGTCACGGAAAGACTGTGGCTTTTAGTCGTCTATACGAGGATCTTGGGGCTAAAGGTAGGGAGAAGAAGTTATTCTGGCTGGCTAAGGCGAGGGAGAGGAAGGCTCGGGATCTGGATCAAGTGAGGTGCATTAGAGACGAGGACGGTAGAGTATTGATGGGAGAGCACCAGATTAAGCGGAGATAGTAGACTTACTTTTATAAACTTCTAAATGAATAAGGAGATCAGGATATTGTGCTAGGAGAGTTGGGTCATCCGGAGAGCCACCGCGATTTTGGGTACTGTAGGCGCATCAAGGTTGGGGAGGTGATGGGAGCTATGCGTAAGATGAGCAGGGGAAGAGCTACCGGGCCCGACGAGATCCCGGTAGAATTTTGGAGGTGTGTGGGTAGAGCAGGTTTGGAGTGGCTCATAGGGTTATTTAATGTTATTTTCAAGACGAAGAACATGCCGGACGAGTGGAGGTGGAGTACGGTAGTTCCGTTGTACAAAACAAAGATGACATCCAGAGTTGCAACAACTATAGGGGTATCAAACTATTGAGTCATACCATGAAACTGTGGGAAAGGGTAGTAGAAGCGAGGATAAGGAGGACGGTTTCTGTATCAGACAACCAGTTCGGGTTCATGTCGGGTTGTTCCACTACGGAAGCTATCCACCTTATTAGGAGGTTGGTGGAACGATACAAGGATAGGAAGAAAGATCTGCACATGGTGTTTATTGATCTGGAGAAAGCGTATGACAAGGTTCCTAGAGAGGTTCTTTGGAGATGTCTAGAGGCTAAAGGTGTGCCGGTTGCATACATTAGGGCGATTACGAACATGTATGATGGAGCTAAGGCTCGGGTTAGGACAGTGGGAGGCGACTCCGAGCATTTCCCAGTTATTATGGGGTTACACCAAGGATCTGCGCTTAGCCAATTCTTGTTTGCTCTGGTGATGGATGCACTGACACACCATGTTCAAGGAGAGGTGCCATGGTGCATGTTATTCGCTGATGACATTGTTCTGATTGAAGAGACGCGAAGTGGCGTTAACGAGAGACTGGAGGTTTGGATGTAGGCCCTTGAGTCAAAGGGTTTCAAGTTGAGCAGGACGAAGACGGAATATTTTGAGTGCAAGTTCAGTGCCGAGCCGAGGGAAGCGGGCATGGACGTGAGGCTTGGATCGCAGGTCATTTCTAAGAGAGGCAGTTTCAAGTACCTTGGGTCAGTTATCCATAGGGATGGGGAGATCGACGAGGATGTCACACACCGTATAGGGGTGGGGTAGATGAAATGGAGGTTAGCATCTGGAGTCCTGTGTGACAAGAAAGTGACTCCGCTACTCAAAGGTATGTTTTATAGGGTGGTGGTTAGGCCGGCCATGTTATATGGGGGAGTGTTGGCCAGTTAAGAATTCACATACCCAGAAGATGAAAGTAGTAGAAATGAGGATGTTGAGGTGGATGTGCGGGCACACTAGGATGGATAAGATTATGAATGAAGATATTCGGGAGAAGGTGGGCGTGGCTCCTATTGATGAAAAGATGTGGGAAGCGAGACTCAAATGGTTCGGGCACGTTCAGAGGAGGAGCTTGGATGCCCCGGTAAGGAGGTGCGAGCAGTTGGCGTCGGTGGGTACGAGGAGAGGTAGAGGGCGGCCTAAGAAGTATTGGGGA